ATACATTAAATGCCTTCCTATCCAGGCTAAGTATTAGTACTTGTAGCAGTAAAGTGGAAGAGCCCAGCTTCCTAAAAGTTCCTACACTGAAGTGAATTAATTAAGAAGTTGGGTCAGTCTAAGACTTTCCAGTATGTATATCAAGTTGAAATATTTGGAAAATGTTGATTTTTTTTTAATTTAGAACTTTCATAAATCCTATTGAATAGATGTTTTTCTTAGAGATAGCTTTACTAACCTCATGTCCTTGTCAGTCTTAGCATTTAGTGAAATATTCTGGCATTCAAAAGTAACCAACAAAAATATTTTTCTTGCAGGGAGTATTTAAAAAAGAGGATGATATTGATCTGCTTGGGGAAGAGTTTAGGAAAGCGTATCAGAAAAGGAGTGACATTTCCGAAGAAAAGTGATATCAAGATGGGGTAAAATTCTTTTGTATGTTACCACTAGATGTCAGTGTAACTTTTGCTTAATGGTTCAGTGACAGGATTCCACTGTCTGTTTGCTTTTTCTAAAACATTACTGAATCTCATAATTTGTAAGCAGTTAGATTAAAATTAATAAGTATTTAACTGGAAAGTCTAGTCAAACTTATTTTTGTACTGATAATTTAAAAATCTGAATTCCACAATATCACCTTATTACAACACTCCATATATAAAAATACATTACAGGGCAAAACCAGGAGGCTAACTTCTCAGTACATTCACTTTGAGTAAGGTAGACTTTGTGCTCAAAGTGAACACCCTCTATGTCTAGGAACTTTACTTCCTTGATTTGGCCAGAGAAATAAATATTTAGAATTTGGTTTTGAAAGCATGTGTTTCTGTCTAATAAAGAGGGATGAATTTCAAAATGGTTTAATAACTTAAAAACAGAATTTCTCTGTTGATTCTCCAGAACATAAAACATACAAATGTAGTGTAAAAACTCAAAAGGGCTAGTTTGTCAAAAATTAAGTTCTTGTTCTTTTCTTTTACAAGATGTCTCCTTTTCCTAATAATTACACATCAGAATAGTTTTGATTTCATAATTATTTTCATTACCTGTGAACAGTAAAAATCATTCAAACCATTACAACTTAAGTTAAATAAAATGGATATCCATCACATGGTCACAGAGATTTGAAGTAGGTGATTTATGAATTTTCCCATTCAAGTGCCTTCATAAATTCCTCTTCAGTGAAAGATAGCATCTTAGCAGCTTCAATATGCATCTGTTTTTTCAAACAAAACAATATTGCCTGATTTAAGAATTGAACACAGAACAGTAAATGTATGGATAATATGCTATCAAAATACAAATTTTGTTATAGGAATGTGTACTTTTAATTCCAATACTTGAAATGGTAATTACATTCAACGACCAACCTATAAAAGCCTTTTTTTGTACAACGGTGGTATTGAACCAATCTACTGTTAAGAAAATAATTTGATAAGATTATTACCTACCCTGTCAAAACTATGAATTCCTACCTGCAGGTATCCCATGTTTAGAGAAAGGAACAAAAGTGGTTTGCTATCACTGTTCACTCAAAGGTTTGATAAGGCAAACAGTCTTCTAAGATAATAGTTGTACTTGTATACGGTGCTTTCTAGTCTGTATCTTTTTATAGTCTGTATCTCTGGTCCCATTTTCCACACTACTAATTTACTTACATGAAAATATGTACTTGCTTAGATTACACATATAAATCTTATTATATTTTAGATTTCATATGTATAATGCATTTTACATAGTTTTTTGCCTAAAGATGTCAAAATAAAAATTAAATATACCTAAAGTAAAATACTAAATATATCTGATTTAATTTTTTAAGAGTTCACTCACCTTCTGCTTTTTTAAAACATCAATTAATTTTAATTGTTTCTTGAATCCTATCATTAATTCTCCTTTTTGTTTTTCTAGCTTCTTGTTT